CTATCACATTGGTCCATAAATAGTCCTCAAAGTTAACATTCATAAATCTACGCGGGATATAACAGTATCAAAACTGTAATATTGAATAAAACCATTATTGTTAATACCTTCCATAGCCTATTAATCGCCTGAGGGGTATAATAGGGATACTTCTATTTGATAGTCCAGATACCTCATGCAAAATAATATCTACAATGTTCTTCAAGGCATTTGTGTGGCTCTTATTTGCTTCTCAGACTGTCTTTGCTTGGTCAGACTAAACCCTAATAATGAAAAACAGAATGGTAACAGACTTTTGGTGAGCGACGGTGTCTGAGCTTACGGTCACCATTCTATGCATAACATAGGATCCTAGATACAAGAAAACATTTGGAAAATAATTTATTTATCTCGAGTGTTTTTGACTATTACTTGAATATTTGGTTTTTAACAGTAATCACAACAATATCCTATATGCACTATCGTACCAAGCAATTAGCAAAAAATACTAAACGACAAATAAGCGAATCAATCATGTAGAATAACCATAAAACGTGAGGTCGCCCCAGCACACTCCTTACGTGAAAATTAAAAATATAAACTGACCGATGTAAATACATAACTTAGCACCCTATTTTAATCTCAAATCATCTGCTCACCGTTACGAAAACACATAAAAAAGGCTGCTGGAATGTTCACTCAGCACTAAATGATGAAGGAATCTATGATGGCTAACAGTTCATTTGCTTACCAATAAACAAATGATTCGCCGACAACGCGAAAATATTCTGTTCCAGATATTCTACGTATCCAGGCTCCAAATTACTCTTCGGTTCCCTCCAACTGTCTCATACTTTCTGGGTGATTATATATTCCTCCTTCTAGCCTGCCCAAAACGTAACTGCCGAAAATCTATCTAAGAATAAGGAGATTATCTTCAAGAGTGTCGACTCAATATCCTATATTATTGCCAACCAAAAATTCTTGTTCGATTTTGTCTTCCTATTCAGGTCATACATCACTTGTTGTAGCAGCATCGAGATTACAATTTGTGGACGATGCATGATGGATATTAGAAAAGCTTGAAAAACCTCCGCTTAACGCTAGAGTAAAAATAGGGTTAGAAATTAGTTCGAGGAATTTAGATAAAGATCCGAATTCGAGATTTAAGGTCAGGAATCAGGCTTTGAGTTTTAACTATGAACTAAGATCATTTACAATGTAAAAATGCTATTAAGCTACTTCTGTACCTAAATTTGGAGCAGCTGTTATGCTTAAACGGGTTGGTTCGTCCGTAAATTGTAGTCCGCATGTATCTATCTATCGTTTCGAATTCTCTCTACTTTTTTTCACAAATGTTATCGGAATGCCACCTGTTAAATGCCATTGCTTGATGATGAAGCTCAATAATTGATTATTGATTGCAAACAATCTTCTCCAGAAATCCGCGCCATGGCTAATTTGAAGAAAGTTGGATTTCTAGCCATCTTGTAGCAACAGGGCTTTGTTTGGTCCTGATTGCACAATTCTTGAAGTATTTATCCAACTCTGTAAGATTACAAACTTAGTTCTTCCTCCAATCGAAAAATATTCTTTTAGATCTACTTCCACTAATAACGAACCCATAGAGGTTATAAAGTCTGTTCTTTAAACGACTGATGTATTCAACCACGAGTAGTAGACTTATAATACTGAATTCGACAAACTCTAGCATAAACGGTTTGCACACGAACAAGAAATAATCGAAATATGCTGATCAAAAACCATAAGCAAAGTTGACAGGATACTCTGGAAATGCTATAGCCAAGAATATTTGGCAGTTAAAAGTCAGCTAGCTACAATATAGAAAGACCCAGGATATTTCTGAATTTTTTATTTTTCACAGCAATGATGCACTCCGATTCTTGCGGAATAATATCTCCCCTGAATACGAACTTTGGATTTTGTGTGTGTCAAATTCAGTCAAACGTTCTAGACTATCAACAATTAATATGACCCGTAAGCTGCGGAGTTTCCCACTAAGAACCGTGTGTAAGTAATTTTTCTTTAGCACCCAAAGATTCATCGAATGATTTGGCCTAAGCTTCAAAAGTGGAGGTTACAACAACGACCACACATACGCATGACTTACGCACAACCCCCTGTACTTATGTTTTTGACCGTATGGGCTTGCATTAGTACTCTTGTGGCAGTAAAACTAGAATGTTGAGAGTTAGCCGATAACGCTTTATTGGGAGTAGAACATTGTAGATAAAATGCTATTCACCTTTTTATTTTATTTAGGCATTGCACTTCCCGTTTTCTTCTACTGAATAATGAAATGTTTGTGTAGTTAAATTAGCATCCTTTCACCCTACTTGCTCCACTTCTTGTGTAATAAACCGTAAGTTAATCATCCCAAGGCTCTCTGATTCACAAAATGATGACAGATATATATGAGTTTCACACACATATCAGCACTTCTAAGTCATCGACACTCTCAGATGCACCGAAAAATGGAATATAAAGGAGCGGAGCTCTGTGTATGTTTCCATATTTTCTTTTTAAGAGTTAACTTTAGCCGGAATGCTCTCCCAGCCGAAGTGACTACAGCTTCTTGTTAAGTACGTATTCACCCATGGATTACTATGGTGCTCTCATACAAACTGTAACTAGTACAATCTTGCACACTGTCTACTGTTACCACTATCATTTACTACCAAATTATGCCTATTTTGCTTTTAATCATCTCCTTTTCCCATTTGTTCTTGCATTTTGATAAGCTCCTTCTGTTCACACCATTAACCTATTTACTTATCCACTCCTTTAGACAATCTTTTTTTTCTAGCTATTCCATATTCAAGCTTTTTCCTCATTGTTTTTTACATTCTAATCAACCACCCTCCTGCCCGGTTATGCAACTGCTGCTGACTCCAGAAACCCTCCCACAGCTCCAACACACTAGACCAGATCATAAAATATACAAGCCTACAAACTAACTAGAACTGGTACAGTCTAATGTATATGCTACTTGCCAATGAACATTAACAGAGACCTGGAACTGAACCCAAACAACAAGAAGCAAGTGTAAAGAAATCAATCGGGTTACATAAGCATGTCACAAAGATTTCGGACATGTATTGAATACTTCACTTTACAAATTATCTATGTGATAGTTTCGTGTTGCTAATTGCGCATTTTTACTGAGCATAAAGTTAGACAAATAAACTAGTGGAGTCAATCAAAACATAGCATTATCTGTTGCACTAGCAATCACTCGATTTCAAATAAGCCAGTAATTGAGTTGTTATTAACAGATGTATTAGTGCATTTCTTGGCTTTACTTTTCCAAGAAACGGATCCTTCTGATCGTAAAAACAGAAGTATACGTACATTCATTTTCCACTACAAACCAAATATACCAAGAATCAACTTCTTATAGAGCACATGTAAGAGTATGACATTAACCGAACGTACCTCTATATTAAGATGCAACGTAGTTTTTTTTAAAGTATTATTAATAATATTTCTAGTGCCTTCCTTAATCTATCAATATATACGTTATTCTCAGTCTTGTCTAAAAACCTTAGAATAGTGTAATTTTGATCCAAAGACAAATCATTTTGAAAATAACCGAAATAAAAATGTAAGGTTTTTCAGTAGATCAGTGACATATTTAATTCATATAAGAAAACATGTTTTAGCATGATTTGTTCGGAGTAAAACTAGCCTTATTGATTTTACATTCACATGACTTATCATGGTAACTATCGCATCATATATAGCGTAGTGTGAGCTACTCATGTCGACAGATATAAGTAGTATGTTACATCAATAGAAAGTGAAACGTCTGGAGGCAGGAGGTTAAGAAGATCAAAGAAAAGAGAATGAGAACATAGAACGATTTGTGTGGAAACGAAGGAACAATGAAGTCTGAGATAATTGATCGCCATTTCGCAAACGAAGTATTTACTGTATGGTTCTCAGATTTTACTAAGATGTTCTGTAATGCTGTCTTCAAATACATTTGATTGTCCCCATTTGTGTTCTCGTTCACTACAATGGCAATAACATGTTCAAATATAAAGTGCTTTCTTTTCAAAATAAGGTGAGATTAGATGACATATTGTGAAAAGGTTTTAGTCTGGTGAGCTTTTCTAAAAAAACCTTTGCACGTAAATGAATATCGTCGTTTAAAAAATTAAGTGACAGCAGAAATTATTTTCGATATCTTTTAACTTTGAGTGGAATAAAAGATGTAAGAAGCGAGCACATATCGTAAGTTGAACTGGAATTAGATGAAATTATTAAAATCGTCCAAATTTCTCACTAAACAAAAAAGCAACAGCCAACTAAGTCTTGCACCAATGATTAATTTGAAACCGTTTTCTTACAGAAATATCCATAGGGCTCGAAGGCAAAGTTGCTGAAAAAAATAGGTCCCTGAAATGTTCTTTATTCATGAGATCTAATCAGTTGTTGGTAATTGATGTACGGTAGCGAAAGTGAAATATGACTGGTTGTTGAGCGTGGACAAACAGTCACAGCCTATGGACCATTAAATACGTGATTTTCCTCCTTATCATTGATTTCTACTATGGATTCAATGTGTGTGACTGTTTGTAATTGTACTGAATAAAGTATCCTCTAGTTTTAATCCGGTTTTCTATTTTAGGTCGCAAATCCTGCTTCTGATATGACGTGATTAGTCTTATTCACGTATTGACGTATTATCGTAACATATGTGTAAGAGAGAAAAATATTGTGAACCATCCGTTATATTAGTCATAAAAACTGAATTTCTTTTCACATAAAGTCTAAAAGTTATGACTTATTTTCCCTCCTGTTTGTTATTCGTCAAGTAGATGCCCTTGTTTCTCAGTTATAGCCGTTTGATCGACGCTATTTGTTAGCATTAATAAGATAGAGCTCTACGTTAACGGATAGATTGATTAAATCTTATCAGTGATAACGGAATACAATAAGTCTACGAATATATTTGATGCATCCGGACAACTAAACGAAGGGAAATAGATAGATGCCTACCAAAAAGGTATTTTAGTATAATTGATTTTAGTAGGCTGATAATCACCTTATAAATAGAAATAGAGAATATATAAATATAAGTAAGCAGATCGACAACCTAGCAGACTATATTTGAAAAAGTTAGATAGACGTATGAACTGACATTTCCACCTAGTTAAATAGAATGTAAACAATTAATGGAAGTAAACATTTACCTCCACGATATAATTACTATCTAGACTTTTAAAGGATAAATGCAAGTGTACTTAAATTAAGGTTCACAGTTAGTACTATGGATGCATGTAAAATAATCATGAATACAATTATTCTTCTGTCAAACGGTTTGTCTTGTTGTTTTAAACACTGAATGGAGGTAAATTTACGTACACGTAATAAAAAGTCACTACATCGTAAAAGCTGTTGCACATTGATATTGTTCACATTGAAGTTAGTTTAGATGGATTGACTGACATAAATAAACTATTCAGTTCTCATATCAGTGGAAAGTTCAGACAGTAATAAAAATTCCTTTACGTAAACAGTTATTTTGGATGAATATTTTGCCATCATGAACTACCTTTGACATGCCTAGGTAACCGTCACCTCATAAGTCTTCCTTTGAATTGTAGATAGCATAGTTGTGTTAAGCAAATTCACTGGAGGTTCTTATTAGCTACTCTTCTTATGTAATAATTCGTATTTTGTCTTTAGTAAACCTCTTGATGATAGAGTGACTTCAAAAATTCCAATAGTAAGAAATCAGTTAAACGGCAAAATAGTAGAACGAAATAGTGTGTATGGCAAAGAGGATTAGTGATAATTCGTTTGTGTAAAGAAATAAATTAGCATTTTCCCCAGATAACGGTAACGAGGACCCCTAATTGTCAGTCCACCTAAGTCATGATGAAAATTCAGGTTTTGATAAAGTTCTAAAAATGGACAGCAATAGAGAAATGCATTGAAGCAGTCACTCAAGAGTAGACTAATCAATGTTTTATAAAGATTTATTCAGTAAGAAAAACATGTCTTCAGGATAATCTGCCTCTGAGATTACATTGTGGCTTATATTGATAAGAATGTGATTAGAATAAAATAATTTTGAATATTCTGACTTCTTATACTTGCATCCGAACTTAGTATAAGTGTGATTTCGGTTTAGAATTCACTCTCAAATCATGACTGACACAATTTACATTGAACTACCTACTTCTATGACTACAAAAAAAATAAACGATAGTATTAACTGAAATAATTCATAATACATCTTATCTTTATGAAATTCATAAGACCGAAACCTTCAGATAATTAGTTTGTCAGCACTGTAAATGATTTACATAAAGTAATCAAACAAGCGATTCTAGTTGAACCGTTAGCAAATAGATACGGATCGATCAAGAAAAAATAGTGAACAAACTCATTTTTCTTAAACTTTGCTGTTATGAAAAATTCAAAGAAAGTACATTTTTCCTAATTTAATACATTGAAGCGTGATAGGTAATATGTTAATCAAAATGAAATCACTTTAACAGCTGATTAAATAATAGGATTAATTTAATAAATTCAATTACGACCTGATAAATAAAGAATCCATTTAGTTTAAATACATGTACTTTATGTACAGAGTTGGTGTGATTTATTTCCAAGTAAATGATCTAAAACACAACTATAAACCAAGTAGTAATGATATTAAAATGTACAATTACTCAATATTAAATTACTCAGGCTTACTAATTTTAAAACACTATGACAAACGTATAAAATATGAGAACTCTGAACCACTAAAATTATAGAATTTGATTTGACTCTATTGACCAAATATTTAGATGCTACGTTTAATGTAATTTGGAGAAGGAATGAGTTAGACAACCAGTTAATGTTAAAAACAGTGCTTATTTTGTAAAGCCTAAAAGATATGGATTCAGAACATTGTTTCCGAATATAACCTTAAATTATTGTATTCCATCAAGAACGTTACATTAACAGATCATTAATTTCATCAACAGTGAATCCATAGAAAAATCAATCGTTTACTAACTTAAATAAATCAGAAGGGGTTTTGTGGAGATTTTGCAACTATGAAATAAATCATTTTTCAGTTTGTCTAAAATTAATTAGTCCCTTTTGGTAAACATCTTGTAGTCGGATAGTTATTGAGTTACAAAGTGTAAAATTTTATACATTTCTCACTAATTTCTAGGTAGATAATAATCTTTAAAATCAAGAAAAATTGACTTGGAGATTAACGTATGGATTCAACAGTACAACTCAGTCCCAACACACCGTAACAATGTCAGTCAGTCACAACGTAGAACGTCGTACGTACGTACGTCAGTTTGAGTTGCCATAACACATTAACACAGAGATGCAGTTGTCGATTCAAATCCCATAGTGGTAGAAGTAGTATGAGTATAAGCAATAAGCCGAAAGATTAGGATTTGAAGATGTTATTCAAGGAGTAGGGAGAAGACGAAAAGGGATGGGAAAGTCCTTTATCAAGTACCGTATAAACAATCCTACAGTTCGTGTTTGTTTACGGCAGACAGACCTAGTCTGATAATGATTGAGTCTAGGAGAATAATTGCTCCTTATAGCTCACCAACAGGGACGCAAATTATAATTCAGCCCTCGGAATCTTGTCTAATTTACTCAGTATAACATTACGATAATTTTTATTTCAGAAGACCATAAACATTTAACACACAAATACATCTTACCGATTATGCACACGCAACCACAACCGGTAAATTGTACCAAATAAGCATTCGGAGTATTAATGAAGTTTGTAATGATCGAGCAGAGAATACTTCCAACCGTCTTAAAAAGATTTTCAAAAAAAATGCCACATCGTAATATTTTATCAAACAAGCTTTTCTCTTTTTGAACTGCAAGATCAAACGAAACAAACATGAATGAATGCTAATCAACATAAGTCGAACAACCGTATTTAGTAGGTAAGGAGCTTTGAATTCCCCGAGTTTAGAACTAACAATGGCGTCAACCTGCTACAGGCGGGTGAGACGACTGTGCATCTCGCTAGTTAAGTTAGTTCTGATAAGAATGGCTAGGGTTATCACGAACAATATCTGGAATTGATTCAGACTAGGTATTCTTCAGTCTCATCATAAGGATATAGTAGCTATTAAAACCCATGCTTATAAAGTCTGGTCTGTACGTCTTCACCCGATGCATGTCAAACTCATCCTCATCAAGCCTAAAATATTCAAATAATGTGTTATAATATCATAACCTCTGGGGAACTGCTTACTTTAAGATAAAACACTATTTGAGAAGTAAAGTAGACAGTTAGGTCGTCTGTGTTTAGGATATAGAAGTCGTCTTAAAACGGTGGAATCTTTCTGAAGTGTTGTACTCAGGGATTGCCTGATGTTTAATACATCTATTTGCAACATCGACAGTGGTGAAACCTTCTACTATAGAGAAGTTGTAAGAAAAGAATAATGAATTTGAAGACGCAAAGTCGTAAACCTCAAGATAATTGCTCTGAATTAGAAAGTATGAGTATATTCAGGCTTCCTAGACAAGGATTTAGTAGCAATGTAATCGATTCGCATGACATTATGCTAATTATAGCTGAAATACATTATCTGTTTAACAATTTGAACATCCAAGAGTAAAGTAAGAGCTAAAAATTGAGATCTGAACAGTTTAAAATCATCCGCTACTCGTAATCAAATAATGTTGCAGAAACGGATGTTAAAAGTACCTGGTGTTTTTTCTTAATGTTCTGCACTTACCTGTTGCTTGACAGCATTACTTTAAAACCAATGTGACCACTGTGCTGTAACCGGACCAAATAAGAAAATTTTCCTGAGCTACTAGTACCGTTAACTAGCATAGATCAGGCAAGCCTTATCAGACGGCTAAAAATTTGAGGAATATGCCTACGTAAGTTAAACTATCGGTAAGCTCAACCAATATAATCAAAATACAAATGCCAATGGTTCACGAAAAACTAGTTGGCATTTTATCAATGTACGGAAAGTAACGAATATTATCGGGACTTTAAGTATAACATTCAATAGTTTTAGTTATGACAGCAACTCAGTTAACAACAAGATACTTTCAAGTCATGATATTAATGAGAATTAACAAAAATGAGTTATATGGAATAACAACATATTAACATTCTTGTCTCTTACAAATCCGGTGAAAATTATGCCATAATTCACCGCCATATTTAAAGGACCGAAAAGAATCCCAGTAGCCGCAGGTTGAATAACGAAAACACCACTCAGCGAGAAGAACAAAATGAATACCCAAATAGCATACATAACTTTTAATCCAACACCTGTCAGTGATCCAATATGTGGGAATGATAATAGCACTATTGCCCAGATTACAAGCATGATCATCATTGGTATCTAAAATATATCGCAAGGGTATTGAAGTGTTATATCAAGTTTTCAAATAAAAATACATGTTAGATTATAAAGCTTAGTAAAGTTAACTATTTTTGGCACCAAAATTCTGAATAACTTCCTACTATGTTCATAATATCACTTTATTTGATTAGCATTTAATTTGGCAGAAAAACTTGTTTGTCGTATGATTGAAAAAGAAGGATAATACCTAAGATATGTAACTAACTTTTACATTCGCAAACATTAACCGAGATCGGTTAACCAAAGTTATTAAATAGTTTGGGAAGATAACCCAAAACCCTACCAAACTGCAAGCATAGTGTGAAAAATTTTTATCAGCCAAAATCTGAAACTGATATTGTCACCATACTTAATTCTTTAGTTTGATGGTCTTAATAATTGCAATAAATAAATTGCATGACAACTGAAGACTTAACATAACATACGTTACTTTCCAATGACAAACTACAGCAACAATTTTACCTTGGATTATGCTTTGTTACAAGAAGGAAACAAGTCGCATTTTATCGTACAGTCAATCTAGCTTTGTTTATAACAGACTGGAACGAAATTGTTTCACCATTTGGTCTTCGCACGTTGGATCTTAGTAGATAATCAACTGTTATATCCTTTAGTTGATTAACACAGAAATAAATGTTTCAGTTAAGAAATTCAGAGCTACACAGCTAAATCTGGTCCAGTAAACCGAAACCGCTAAATTTAAATGTGACTTTTCTTTTAAAAATTATTTACAAAAAGTTGTTGATAAAATATTCCTGAGAGAAATACCTTCAGTGCATACCTTAAAAGATAATCGATCAACAATGGCACCCCAAATAACACGACCACCAGCATTGAAAAGGGATGAAAATGTAGCCACTAAAGATAAGAATTGGTCATCATCAATATACTGAGCACCAAACAGCTAAACGAATGAAAACAAAATACAATCGACACAACTTCAAATGCGAACACTGAGAATTGTAAATTAATAGTTGCGGAATTCTTGTATAATATAGATTTACTTGAAGCTCAAAACTAATTAGTTTTGAGATATATAAAAAATTTTTATTAGATGAATACGAGTATTCAATGCAACACCAATCCATTATTTCAATTGGTCTTATTTCATAATTGTAAGAAACAACTATTGGAGATGTAGAAAATTAGGGTAAGACGAGTAATAACAATTTAGCAACTCTTAAGGAGCCTGAACTTCCCCATAAAGTTACATCTGTATTCTCGAGTGGTTTATTTGCATACAGAACCTAATTAAATCAAATTACTCAACTTAGTATTCCTCAAACTCTGCCAAATCGACTGGTTTCGAAATCAGAACACGACTTGAACTGAAAGTTAAGAAATTCTTTGAAAAACAATAAGCCAAAGTTATTGCAGATTTTAGTTATCCTCTAGCGTTGCTCGTTTGAAAATGGTTCAATCAGCGAGCTTTTGCCCGTCTCCTTTGGAATATCCTTTGATCAGATCTGTGTCTTGCTAATAGGTTTGTACAGATTTTAATACAAAAATTCCAACAACTCTTTTCTGTAAATATGCAGCAAATACGTCTTGAAATGTTTGATCAAAAAATCAGTGATACTTTATGACTTAAGTATTATCTATAAAACAATATTGATTGGAGCTAAAGAAGTCAACATAGGGGGAACCAACAACTTCTGTAAGACCAATGGAGATAAAATATTTGAAGAGACACCAGAATAAACATGAATTCTTCACTCTGATTGTGAAGGGGATATTCAGCTTCACAAATAGGAATCTGAAGCATAATAAAACGAATTAACTTAAAGTAAACAGATAAACGATGCACAACCTCAATCCTTATAATTCTGTCATTTATTTTTAATTAGAATAGAGGTTTTTGGGAAGTGTATTAATTTGATAGTTTAATTCATAAGTTGATTTAAGCTAGATCACCATGGAAAATCTGGAAGCAGTGAACGGCCGTTTTGTCTTAGTATGGGACTCCTCAGTAGTGCACATCTACGACCCCGCACGCGGGACCTGAAATATAACGGATTATGGGCAACATACGGCAAAAGAATTGGAAAAAATTGACTTGAAAGACTCTCCGGCTGCAAACCAAATAAAATAAACGAGAGTACTTTAGTTTCACTATGTACACCAAAATATTTATTGTTATATAACGATGGTAAGGTATAAATAATGTGTGAGTTTAAAGGATGAATACGGAAAATGGTGTGTTTTTCCTTTATCCAACAACATCTACAGTGGATTTATAAGACAGAATAATAGAAGTAATTAAGAAAAAATAATTAAACTGTACTTCTTAAATTATAAGACCTTAATCAACTAACTTTATAAGCTGATGTTATTATAGTGATTGGTATAATATCACAGAACATTACGAACCATAAAATATAAAAGTCAATATGACGAAACAATTGTTTGGGTTGAACACAAACATCCCTGAAAAAGAAATAGAGAAATTTGGGAGTTAGGTTGAGACTGTACATTTATTCTATTCCATAATTTCTAAATAAACGCTAGTAGATTGTGAATGTTCTTACTGTTTTGCTGTTTACTGGATTTCAATTTTCATAAGTACAACTTCAGATGTCGGTCCAAGCATCACTTTAGGTGCAAATCCACACAGAAATCGATATTTTAGACCATCACAAAAAATATTATTCACAAGGACTTATCTTGTAGTTCCACTCTAGATATTTTCATTTAAGTGTATATTTTACTATTTTGTGAAAAAAGTTACCGTAAAACGCTCTGCAATTAACGTTTTTGTATATATGTTGTATTAAGCCACAACATTCAAAGTAGTAACTAGAAAAGAATGAAAGCACAACAAATAATTCATTTACAGAGCTTTTTAAAAGAAAACAGTGAATTTAAAAAATTAAGTGAGAGCTGTTTGGTTAGGGCAAAAATGACTAATAACTAGAGCTGTGTAAAAGTAATAACACTCACAATTTTGGTTCCTCTTGTGCATATTCGCTCTAAGGAAATCATTGAAAATCTTAGATAAAGCACAAATATAACTAATTTTTCATACATTATTAAACAACTTACATTGAGCACTATTTAATAAATAACAAGGTCACAATACCAACCCATGATAATTTATTCAATTTATTACTATTCAATTAAAAGACATTTCTGTTCCTATATTTTTAACATAATTCGTGGAAAAGTTGTTAAGTTGTAATAAGAATATTCATTATCATCTTTCTACCCAATGCTCAATTTATTTGAAACTATCAAGTCAAACCTTGGTAATGACACACAGTATAGATGTGGTCCACCTTGATTGTGATGTACGCAAGTATATTTTAAATTTCAGGCAAAAAATGAAAGGGTAAATACATGAAGGATATCATTATCACGTGCCCTAACCTCATTTTTGAGAGACATTTTAATCTCACTGTCATCAGTAAAATGAAGTAGTAAATAACACTTATTTGTGCCATTGAAAGTCTTTATTTCAATAATGTTTTATTTGTGGGAAGCATTAAATAATAATGAAACTATATATTTAGAAGGGGATTTGTGGAGATTTCAGTATTTTTCAAAGTTGAAATCATGAGTCAATTGAAGCTAGACCACCATCGAAAACCTGGAAGCACTGGACGGCCATTTCGTCTTACTATGGGACTCCTCAGCAGTGCGCATCCACGAACCCACTCCACAAATCCCCTTCTAAATATAATCATATGCTCACTAGTGACTGACTTCAAGATATATGTCCTGGAGTTCTAGTGGGAAGCAGTGACCAGTGGAGTTCAACCACGTCCGTTGTGAGATAGGAACTCACTGAAGACAATTGGTGAATGGTTGCTCAACTTCGTGGATCAGTTGAAGTTAACACCGTTGGATGCCAGCTCAGTGGTCTATCGGTTAAGGGCTTCGGCTCGAAACTGGTAGGTCCTGGGTTCGAATCCCACGAGAGTGGGATCGTGGATGCGCACTGCTGAGGAGTCCCATAGTAGGACGAAACGGCCGTCCAGTGCTTCCAGGTTTTCGATGGTGGTCTAGCTTCAATTGACTCATGATTTCAACTTTGGAAACTATATATTATTTGTAAAATATGACCTTACACTACTGAGGTGACATTTGTGTTTTAAAATGTATAGAAAGTTTCAAGAAAATAATACATAGGACAATAATAATTAAATTAAATTTGGGAAAATGCCTAACAAACTTACAGTAACTGGATTAGGATCAGAGTTTACTCTATTCCGTACAACAAGTTCTGTATCTTGATCTTGTGTCTAATCGAAAGGAAGTTAATACAAAATACTTAATGTATTATAAGGAGTAAATGATGAAAAATTTGCTAGAGCCTAATTTGGATATTATAAATATACTAACATAAAGCAAAGTAACAGAACTTACCATGTTAATCAGCAGAACCTTTTATTCAGAACATGTACCTTAATCCACTACAAATTAATCATTGATATTCCCAAACTAGTTGTGTCTTCGTATGGTACGAGTCCATTAATATAATGTTTACTATAAGTATGCAATCATGCTACTGTACTCAATATATATTGTCCGAAAAATAAGTATACATTTTAACTGAAACCTCATAAAAAGATATACCTAAACAGTCACAAATGAATTGCCAAAACTTTTTCTTGGTTTTCTCCTATATTTTAAACGTATCATACGGTTTGTAGAAAAAACTGTAGGTTGATATTTTTTATAGAGAAAAAAGGATATCATTAGTTTATGCGAATTTAATTGAATGCTCAAAAATCGTTCTTTTTACCATGAACGAAATAAATTATGTTAAAAATACTTTCGACGATTTTAAGATGTAATTAAAATGAGTAAATTAAGATGCACTGTGATTATCAAAATGAATGAAAAGTACTTATTTCACTACTCACACTTTCAAGTGGTTTTGAACGCAATAATATAAATCCAATTATTTGTAATGCAAGAAGAATACCACCAAGAATCAAAAACGCAACTGGAACCCGATCAAGAACATCAGGATGCGTGAAATGCCTGCAGGAAATTAAATGAGAAGATGTACACGAAATGTATACATGTTGTTATAGTCAATATTCAGAACTCATGGTATGAGTTACAAAAGAAAATAGGATCTACTCCAGATAATCACCCGATTATAACCTTGTGAATGGAGATCCAGATCACTTAATGGGGAAGCAGAGTTTCTATAAAAGTATGAGAAAACATACATCAAAGCCCTTAACTTGGTTAGCGGATGTAATAAATCTATGCAGAGGAATTGGTATGACCACATTTCGAAAGCAGTACAAATGTGCTCCAGTACTTTCAACAAACGAATGTCATTTAATAAGACGATAATTACCAGCTAGAGCTGACCGACAACTTTGTGGATCAGACATTTGGATCGAAGCATTAGTAACAAAAGTTGTCAATCACAACAGTTTACTTCATTTAGTTAAAATATTTGAAGATCATGAGAGCCTCTACATGAAGGACAACAATCCGGAATAAAAATCTTACCATGAGTGAACATGCTTACAAATTCTCGTCTCTTACAATGAGCTCTTTAAATATAACCAGATAAATCCGTGCTTCATTATGCGTATTGCCCTGAGTTCTGACTGTCTTCTAGAATGAGCGACACTACTTTTGTATTTTGGTGGCGGTACCAAACAGATTGATGGACGTAAATTGGTTGCAACTAGCACTCTTATCAAGTACTCAGTTGAGATAAATGTCATACTAACCACCAGTTGGTCAAAAAGTGTAAACTGAATGAACTTACAGGAGGCCAATTGAATTCTGATTGTAACCACTAACGACTTGATAGAACGCCACATTTACAAGTGCAAAATTTGAGTAGACACTTTATAACATCTTAACCCTCCAACAGTCAGTAGGTTGCAAATGCAAGAGTGTGAATAATTAATAACTTGAGAAAATTTCGCGAAGCCTAGCTGAGGAACACTGGAATCGGGGGTTAGAATGAGTCATACGGACAGCAAATATTGGGTCGAATAACTTTCGGAAGCAAACTCCGATCATTCGAATGAATTCAATGACGGCTGTTAGCAATGGTCAAGAGCGTTTGCGATTTCAAGTAACGCACTCCAGCTGAGGTTTTACCTGGTTGACTGTTTTAAAATCCAAAACCAAATTATCCTATAATTTTAGAGTGAAGAACACCAACACACCCACCATAGCTCGGGTTCCAAATAAACTCCACTTGTAAGAACTGTTAAGAGATACCTGACACAGACAACTTACTTCCTTTATCTTCAATGATGTATGGTGTTCTTCTCGTCTAAGAACTGACTGTGTGGTTTAGAAAAAGTATGGCGACGCGAGATTGCTCTACTGCAAGGAAGTGATAATTGTATTCAATTTCAAAACAGATATGTCTGATGACAGTATACTAAAAATTCGGCCAACACAACTTTCCTTATTTTATTTTGTGTGGCGTATTTCTTGGTATCCCATCTCACCAATTTCTTTTGTCATGAATAAGTAGACAACATTCCTATACATTGCTGTACTTCAGTTTTACAAGGTGTTCTTATGAAATAAAAAAACTATTGGTTTGAACGGACAGTCTCAAATTCCAAGTTTTACATTCAGGTTAAACGCTGTGACAACCACACCTTGAAGTCTTCCTAAAATTTGGAGTGCCCATTCATCAACGTGACTCACAAACCTAGTTACTCATAATGTCTACCCAGATACATTGAGTGCTTACAAAGTTAAGTGACATACCTAAATGGTTTTTCTCTACTTTATCACAGAATTGTAGCTATTGCCTGTCTACTCTGTCGAGTGGGTGTGGAAATGACCTTCAATCCAGCCACATTCAACGTTAATTCGAACCGTTTGATAACACTAATTCCATTCGCTTTTGACCACTGCACTACAAAATAACCCTGTTACACACCAAAATTACCATAATCTGATTACAACATTGTCCGAGTCTATATTTAAAAGCTGATAAAAACGTTGGCACTGAAAGTTATAGATTGCGACAATAAAAGTCTCTCATCACAAGTTGAGTTGATGCAACACAAAAACTGCCAGTGGCCACTACTTCGTCTGGCAATTGACTTGTGTTCCGTTTCTCTCCCCTAAATTTTCTGCTATCGGGTAAGTTTGAACAGGACACGCAGTATCAGAATGTTTGGGTCAAGTTCAAAGATGAAGAACAATCTCACAGAACAACTGGTGTAAACTCAAAGAGACTGAAACGCAGTAATAGCTGCAACTTGTCGATTAAACTATAAATTTAAAACGCAACATGAATCGTATTCATATACAGCAATGAAAAATGTTTCATCATGATACTTACAAAACTGTGAATCAGTGAAATCTGTATCACATTTCTTAAGTGGTTGTGATTACCTTCCATAAAATCTTTTAGTCGCGGTCTGTGTTGCTGCCAGTAACTCAAAATCAGTCAGTCAGGTACAATGTAGTACCGAGCACATGTATGCATCTGTTCAAGTTGTCACTCAAAATCATCACAAATGATTGCCTTGAGGAGCCATTTCTAGGGATTCTATCTTAAGCTTTTTAACCAACAGATTAAAGTTAGGAGTTACTTCTTTGCCATAGACAGAGTATAATGAAAGCAAATGTTATCCTCTCTAATAATATCATCAAATCCACATACTCTATTGGTTTGAAACAAATGTTTTGCAACTCGACCAAGTGAAAACTTCATAGTTATGTATCTGCTTCTACATTTGAATTTTATGAACATCATATATGTCCTAAAACTTTACTACGGAGTCATCTGCTCTGTAAGAAACTTGAAGAAATGAAAAAATAGGACTTTACTGATAGATATTATCAGTTAGGTACGTAGTACAATGATGTCTTGTGCAAAGTATTTAATAAATATAATATGATAGCCAATTTACACCTTCGCGTTGCATATACAAAGTGGATGCACAAAACTCAAGTTCCGGACTACAAACCAAATAACAATTTGTAAGTACTCTGCAAGTTCCAGATTATTTAACTTTTCAGAATGGTAATGGTCCAAGAACCCACTATTAGGTACAATAACTTAAGCTAGGCTTTTAGTAAGAAACTTTTAAATTTATGAAGATTTAAAAATATAGTCGTAATACGTGCGGTGATGCTCACGGATTTATCATAATGATATTGGCTTTTACACCACACAGATAAACAAACGAATTTTTTAAGTAACGAAAAATAACTAAAGGTCATTAATACCTTGTTTTCGGGTCAACAGGGATATTGCTCGGATTGATTAAAGCAGTTTCGATTGGAGTGAACACCAGGGCTCCCAAGCCAAAGCCACCAACGATCACACCAACTACAAGACCACGTCGTTTTGGAAACCACTATCATTCAGTAATCACATGGTTTTTGTACAAATGAATAAATGGAATCAAAAACAAAGGAGTATCGAAACATCATATAATCTAATATACCAAAGACTTTTAAAGTTAGGAGCGTGCCTACAAATTATATGTACTTCCGTAAAGATATTTAATAACTAACTACTGAAAATTGAGACCCGAATGTGAGAGCTTGTGTTTGAGTGACTGATGAGTTCAATCCACCCATGTCGAAAACCAAGATGGGTTTCGGCTATCAACGCCACTTTTCGAAACCACCATGATGTTATCCTGGTCGTGAAAGTTTGAATCTACGACTTGGCGGTGTGTGCATTTTTATTTTATGCTTGGGAAGCGTGACCACTGTGAGAGATGATTTTGTTTGATTACCGTTTATTTCGAAGGATTGTTGGCATTGTGGTAACACTATGTCGATAATCCAATGATTCTGCAGTGTGTTAGAGAGCAGTGATGAAAATTCAGTTAATGTTACCATATTTAAACACCAGCCTCTATGGCATGTAAATGTGTTACGAATATTATTTCAGCAGCTCCTACCTTATGCACCAATTTCTGATTTAGAGACTAATTGAAAAAAGTAGAGGTAGTCAGATTATGACATGGTATCGATATACAAAAAAGCTGTTTAAGACTTACATTGGTGGATCCATCAAAAATCTTCAGCTTGAGTCCTGAGGACTGTGTATCTCACTGGCTTGTGAGTTTACTTAACATGGTTTACAATGAAAATCAAAGAAGATCGTGCTATAGTTTCCGTTTATATTTCTTATGGGTGAGAGGACTGTATCGTTCGTGACATACTATTCTTTTTAACTTATTTTTATAATTTCAACTCACTATCTTCATTCCTCTACAGTCTTATTCCTTTATCTATGAGCTCCAAGTCTTTTAGTCCCCAGTTATATTATAATGTGTCAAAAATAAAAACGGAAAAAATAACCTTAAGTTCGCACAAAAATCTTACATTTCATAAGGTGTATTAAAAATGAAAGAAGTTGTGAATATTAAATAAGCTGATTCCAAGAATAAAATTTATATCACAGATTAGTTCAAATCTTCCTTCATATATGAAAACCAGACTCACTTTAGTGAGCTCTACAATTTACGTTTTATAATGACACAATGCTGAATTAATTTTAGCAATAACTAATTCTACTGCCCGAAGCCTTCAAGTGATCATTACCAGATAAAAAAATCACCACTTTTATTAAAAAATTCGAAGCGTAAACAAATTACTTTCTTACCGTTGCGGCCACAGACAATACTACCGAATAGCCAAAACCCAGCCCCAACCCTTGCAGCACAGAATACGTGATGATGACTCCAGGAAAGGATCTCTGGACAGTGACGTAAGTCAGAAAAATACTAATACTGTAATTAAAAAAACGAAAACAATATTACACGTTTACATTTTCTTTCAAAACAAAGACTTAATTATATAATATTAAAAATTGATTCCTTCTCTTATAAGAAACTGATCGGTTTAAACTAAATACTTGCTCAAATTAATACACTGAAATTTTTAAATTGAGTGATTTGATGTAGCGGATCAAAAAATAAACCCAAAAAAGCATTTTTAACTAGAATAAGTCTAAAAACAAGATCGTTTTGCCTAACATTTCAATTAAAACCTGTGATTTTAAGATGAAATAAAATTGTAATGTTTTTGTTTGAGGATACAAGTACAATGAGTTTTAATGTAGGTTTATTAAAGTTATTTGGGAGAACGAAACTGGATCTTCCAACGTTTGATCTTTCAAAATATTTTGAAATAATAAATGAATTCCATTAATGATGAGCATGGACATTCAGAAATCCACCTAAATCCACACTCATTTATAGACACCGACAGAAAAATCTTACTGCTTGCCTTCACTTGGAAGTAGAGTTGTCGTAACCTGTCAGCACGAGTCAAAAAATTCATGTACTTGGTAAAAGTTGTGAGTATCGGTGGCTTATCTCGATATGAATCATCTCTGGTGCCATCGTGATATTAGTGTGACTGTAAAAGTTTAGACTGACATCTTATTGGTGAAAGCAAGCCTGCCCTATGCTCGTGAAACATGGCCTTACCCAGTTAACGGTATTAAATGACTCTCTGTGTTCAGACATTAATTTCTCCGAAAGGCTTCCAACATTCACTAACAAAACTATGTTAGCAATGTGGTGGTTTATCGATGCGTTAGGGAACAGTGGCAATAACGCGATCTTCATCTTGACATATCAGCTTTAATGCCCTGGAAATGCGGTAAAAATGTCAACTTAGTGACTTTTACATAGTGGTTTGCTCGTCGACGCCGTAACTAGTCGAAAAAGATGGAGTGAGAATCAATTTATAGCATAGCCCCGGGATATGAAAGCTTTATAAAACTGTTACCCATCAACCCATCACGAATTTGTAGTTGAGAGCCGAGGGATGATGAAAATTTGAAGCTTGAGAAAGTATTAAATATGTATCAGAATAAAAGAGATGAACTTAGTTAAATAAGAATTCTTTCTAGCTGTATTTTTTAACTGACTTGCTTCTTCCATTATAGTCTATTCTCGTTCATTTATTTTTCTTTATTTGTTCATTTGATCAAACTCCTCCTCATTTCTCTACTCCTTCACAATATCATTTTCTTATTCGCGTGGTGAATATTTATTTCGGTGCTTATCTGTACCAATATGTTAGAATAAATAATAATGTAGAAAGGCATTTTAACAATCTCGAATGTAAATGCTATCTTATCATAACGAAAAGAAATTTATAAAAACAAGTGAGGCTTAGTTGACAAACTGCTAGCATCTACTTCACGTCTCTTGAGGTTTTCACAGTTCACATCAGGACAATAAGAGAAAACCAACTACAATAAAAATATTGGTGTTGAAGTAATGAAATCAAAAGTAATAGAAAGTTCAAATACTGAAAATGTCGTTTGATAGGAATGTGTAAGTGGAGAAAATATAGTATCACGTTAAAAGTCATGGCGTAGAGAAAGAAAAGGATAAAAAATGATGATATCGTTATGTTAAAAGTAACGAAACTGCAGAGTAGATGATATTTAAAAGCAATATAACTAATAAGTCGAATGTAATCTAATGCCCATGGGAGAGCAATGTAATAAATGGGCGATGATATGTTAATTGAATTAAGAGGAAAGTTATAAATATGGTTGTCTCCATTTGGTAACCAATCAAATAGTCCACCACCCATTCTTTTTTCAGGTCGGAAGTGTTGAAGCATAGAAGCGAAGGAGTTCGAAATAGATGACTACGATTTGTTAACATGAAACGAAGTTTATGAACACAAGTGGTCGGTGTTTTTTTCTTTTTGATCTATTTTTCGTTTTAATCATTTCTGTCCTCATGACATACGCTTTTGATGAAGACGTATTCAAAATAAGCACGATTGAATATCAAATTAAACCATTACGACTTAAAATTGTTGGGAAAATGTCATGAAAGTCAATGGAAATAGAAAACTGTGTGGAAAAATGTTAGAAACGTAGGTAGATTTAATTTAGGTCAAGCTTTCAAAGTGTCCAGAATATCCACTGACAGGCGTGTGAAAATGTCTAAGTTAAACTTTTACACTATACTATAAATTGACATGGCTCCTCAATCGTGAATAAGAGGCCATAACAGTCAAAACTAAGAGAACGTGTATAAGTCATTGCAATAAACATATATATCATTTCTAATTTAACATCCTCCATGCAAAGCAAATACAGAGAAGAGCAGTATGAGAGAACATAACAACCTGAATAAAAAAATTTTACCTATCGAGTAAACAACTGACAGCAACGACAATACGAAAGCCCCACTTCTTTGCAATTAATCCACCGAACGGCATAGAAACGCCCTGCATGGCCAAAGCAATACCAGATATCCAAACTGACGCTGTACTTGATAATTCCGGATCAACCCGTACTACAATGTAACTAATAATATATGGTACAATGTTAGCTGAGAAGGTAGTAAAAGTAGGTACAACATACCAGTACTATAGAAGAAACCAAAAGAGAAATGGATTAATATGCCTCCCAAAACTGAGATGCACCCAAAAATTAGGTTTCGAACTTTTTCCTTCTACATTTCATAGAAAAAGAACTTGTAAACAACAGACAAATTACCATAGAAAAGTAATTCCCACGGTAGTGACGTTAGAACTTCAAATTGGTTATATAAATGCTCTACGAGGTCGCACGAAATCCGAAGAAGTTAAACACAGATTTCAAAAACAAAATTAGGTAAAAAGTCAAATCTCATATTTACCAACTTTTTGACTTCAGATAACTTGATTATTTATGCATGATATTCTAACACTTTTGTATGTACCCGGAGGGCGTCTGATGTTCCTGAACAGAACCCAAATAAAGTGGTTTGCGTCCAGTCTGAACTTATTTCATTTAGTGTCATTGTTAAGGTGATCGTGTTTAAAAAGCTAGAAAATAGAAGGAAAAGCGAAAATGAGAATAGACTACTCAGTACGGGTGTAGAACATACAATATTAAAGGATACGTTTATTAGGAGAAAATAAATCTTTAAAAAAAATAGTTCTTCAAGTCTTCGACATTGATGCTGACCTCTGTAGTTTTACTGAGCATACCCTAACTGAAGACGCTCGGTCATGCGTCCACACCAAAACACGAGTCCATAATTCGTATTACGCATCCGTTGCAAGTACTAGCCAGCTTAAATAAAATGCACCTCAACATATATGCAACTAGCCAAACAAATCTTCGGAATCATCCATCCCTGATTTCTGATAATAATAATAATAATAATGATATATTTCTGCATTAGCAGGTACACGCCATTTTTACAGGCATGATCTACAATTTACAACATATACTGGTTCACAGTATGCATCCCAAGCAAGCTTGTTTAGTAATTATAATCTATAAAAGTTGATAGCAGTTCATTCGTTCAGATATAATGTGTTTTCATAAGAATAGTTTCCAAAGGGGCATAGCGTTCACGTTATATACCAGATCCAATCTCGACAAAAAGTGTAATAGGGTTTCGGTAGTTCTAAGTATTTATGTAATGCAGCTTTTTAAGTTTATAGTTGTTATAAAGTAGGCTTGTGGAGCGCCTGGTTTGAGCTATGACCTTGGGAAAGCGCGTTCGTCAAGCTTTTTCCAGATGTCAGAAGTTACATAGCTTCACCCTCAAAGCAAGATTCTGAAGAGAAAAAATAAAAGAGAAACCGAGGAGCAGCAAGGCATTTGGATATGAGCGATAATCAATGCTTAACATTTATTAGTGGAACAGTTGGAGGTATGATAAATTATTAGATTAAATTGATACTAGCTCATGTTGCAAGAGTAAACTGCGATTAGGGTCTCCAGAAGAGAGAAGGCAGTAATAAAGAACAATGAGTTGTTATATTTATCAAGGTGGAGTAGGTTCCAATGAAGGAGGGAAGTCATTGGAATGAGGAAGAACAGAGAGTGCATATAGAGAGTAGTGTTAAGTAAAATAGAAACCATATCCTTTACAGTCAGTTTTTTTTCTTTTCTCATCCGATGCCTGCCACACAGTGTTCATGTAAAAGTCCGAGTTAGCATGTTAAAGGTTGTCTTAGTAGAATAGTTAATCCAGCACAAAAATTGGAAACATGAGTCTTAATGGTGAGTGTAGGTGAACAATCTCAATATCACAGATCTATTGACTTGTTCTCATCCATAAAGAGCCTGATACAAACAAAATGTTCTGCCCCACAAACACGGGTGGATTGAAATCATCGCCCACACCATCAGTGCTTGCTGGTCAGTAACTGAGCGAGTTGGTATCCTTCGATAATAAAAGTGTCACGGAAAAAAGAGTTGTCCAACTTTGAACATCACTATAGAAAGGGCTATTAGGTCTACCGCACTTAGTACATTTTACTAATAGCGTTTAACGTTTAGGAATAATCATGTTACTATAGAGTCTAAAGTGGAAAAATAGAATTTAAATAACATTATCGCAATGTACGTTCAGTATGTAAGAACACGATACTTATTTCTTTAAAAAATTATGAATAAATGTCTTAGATACATAGACTCACCACATAAGCAAAAACACAGAAGCCAATAATCGAACATGGCATATTAGAACAAATGGAGGATTGTCTAAGTTCGAAGTGTTATTTGGCACTGCATCGGTAAAACTTAAGCTTAACGTGATTAGGATTTATATCTTGGGGAATTTCAGATCATAGATCATGGGGTGCTGTCGTGACAGAACATTCATGGAATCCTCGGTTACTGATCTATGTCACTGCTGTGGTGGATTTACATAAGGAAAAGAATGTCACTATACTGAGAATTGTTCAGTTACCCTAATCAACCCCTCCAAATCAAGAGATATCAAGTCGACGACATAAATTGTGCATTTGTACAGGAAGTACACGAATACGCTATACATCTGCTAAATGATAAATGTATTTTCATTCGAGCTATACAAACTAATTTTCATCCAAAGCCTTGGTGTAATCAAAACTGCAATATATTAGAAGGGTAAAACGTTAAAGAGCACACACTGCCCAATTGTCTAGGAGTAAAACAGCTACTCACTCAAGAAACGTAGTGATATCATTGATGTCAGAATAGCTTCTAAATCTCGAGAGAGAAAAATTAAGCACTATGAACCAACATCACAATCGTTTGTTTAACAAAACAAACTTATGTAGTCAACAGAATGCCATAAAATAGGTATGACGCAGTTCATGAGTACAATTTTTAAGGAAAATTAAATAATGTTAATCTCAACTTGAACCAAATGTAAGTGTGCGATACTTTGTGAATACATTGAAAAACTTAAATTACTATTTCGTGGAGAGAAAATGTTTTCTGTCCCAGATAAAGCACGCAGCGGGGACTTGCACACACGTGCAATATATACATACAGGATCTTATTGCTATGACGTCTGAAAACATTCCTGCTAACAATATCCTTCAGTGAAGGGCAAGTACCCTTTGAGACTGAACATAAATAAGTCAATTAACAATGCTGATGGTGATTACAAAGTAATGATCACAGTAATTACCCTCACTAGCTAAGAAACTTAGATGGTCATCGATCCCTTTTTGCGATATCTTACGGAAGCTATCGTCACTGTAGCCCTTGGTGAGTGATCCCATAGTTATATGATTACGAATTCAAGAACGTCAGCATGGATTTTCGTGCGAGCTCGTGCACATCATATCCTGAATATATATCGTCTTAAGTGTGATTTATTACTAAAATAAACAACTGGTGTTTTAGTGTGAAAGGGTTTGCGAGAAATGAGATACACCACAACCACACCTCCCTGATCTATCTCTAATTCACGTTTTTTGAACACAGAGTTGTCAAGTGAGTGAATGGGGTTTACTTTTAGTCTGAGTACGTCTTTATAATATTAATATATATCCGGATAACAATACATTACATAAAGCATGCCAGTTTACAAGCAAGATTAAGTTGTAGCAGATGCTACAGATTTTACATTACCAAGCTACTCGATCAAAATGGTATGTTGTAGGGCATTGTGGGGAGTAGTGTAACGTCGTGTACTATATTACACCTCCATAGCTTATTCTAGTTTCTGGACAAGCCAATTCACCTATAACGTTATGAGTCATATTTTGATCTTGTTAATTATTCCCTTATTGACCTTGACTATTTTTTTATATGAGCGTATGTGTATGCATACTTCTTATCCTACCTATCACATGTCTGTCATTCATTTTAGTCTGACTATAAATGTTGATTGATGCTTGCTTATAACGAGTTGGCTTACCAGCCATCTCCCATGTATGTTACTTTTTCTTCGCTCGCTAACATTTACTCATGTGCTCACTGCCTTCTAGCCCATGTTATTTATCAATAAAAATGTAGTTGCTGCTTCCTTTTGTCTTCTGATATTATACACCGTTCAGATTGTTGTAATAACGGTTATCAAGACGATCGATTAACGAAGCACTACACTACATATTGGTTAGCCCTACATGCGAACACGTAACAAAATTGGATGCCTCGCCGAACGAACACTCAACATATTGGTTAGCTGTATTTGGAACACCCAACAGAATTGGCGACTGCAACGAGCGAACACAAACCAAAAATGGAACCGTCGACGACATATTCCGTTATGATTCAAATAATCATCACATGCTCATTATTACAATAGTGTCATATCATCATCTAACGTGGAATTATTATTTTTGTTCGTATTGACATTAAACCATGACATTTACGCAGTCATATCACTAATCGAACAAATTATAATGATATGGACATTACACGTTATGATATTCGAAACTCACTGGATTATTTTTATAATCCAATGACGAAAAATTTTCCTGATTCGGGTGAGTTCGTTCCAATTTTTTTTTCATGTCATTTTCGGTCTAATATTACACTCTATCATAGACATAAGTTTGGAGTCATACTCCCGATAGTAGGAACTTATGTTCTCGATACAACTAATATTCATTCATTTCATTGGTACGCAGCAACCGTTGTTTCCTACATTTTCAGCGACAACCTAAATCGAACTTCCGCAATTTTTGTTTCACGATGATCCCTACTTTAAGTACTTTACACAAATCGAGTATTCGACGCCGCATTACCAGCCGATTATTAATGATTATTTTCATATTATCTATTCATTCACATGTATAACTGAATGCTGCATCATCCATTGCCGATAATCACAATTCGATTACTGCAATTAATATTTTATTTCCATTGTACTGTACACAAGAACAAACAGTTTAGAGCTAGTCTCTCAAAGATACACTCTTGTTCGTCACATTCAAGTCAGTCTCACTCGGTGTCATCGACAATCATATGTATTGGTATTTTTATCATGCCTTAAAACGGTTTCGTAACAAATGAGGTTGAGCGCATATCCCTCTAACTACACAAACCACGCTAGGCTTCTAGACCAAAAAGGAATACGACTCCGAATATCTCGTCTAAGCAGTCACTATCCTGTTCCTCTGGTCATTCTACTAATACATATTTAACGATAACTCAACGTAAGCGTTAGCGCACGCTGATTTTGCATTTTATTATCATAATCAATTGTACTACAGCAATGAATACCACCTGTTGATGCAGTCATCTTCCTACGGCTGGACTACTTCTTATCCCACATAAACTTCAGTTATGTAAATTCGAATACACTCATCGCTAAGCGACTCTATTTACTCTACTGCGGCTTATCAGAACATCATATTTCACTGTTCTTCATTCTCATATTCAATTGGCACTACAGACCAATTTCTATTATATTCTACATTACTTATTTCCACGATACCCATAAACAATTTATTGCAGCATATTGGTTATATAAGCAGTGAATAAATTTTCATGCATTTGAATATTGATTTTAGAAACGCCCTAATGTTTAATTTAAGACTTGGTGTGCTTCGCAAGGGTAGTGCTCCGACAATCAATTAGTGGTCTATTATGAAGGGAATCAAAGTCCAGAGCAGTCATTCGAAGACGAAAACTTCAACGTATTATTGCATGCTTCTCGGTGGTGATCCCAAGTAACTTCCATAGGCATTAGTGATGGCGTAGGACAAAGTCGTAAGTTCCACATATGTTTTTGGTGGTATACCATGAGGGTGCTGAGAAATAAGGG